TGATGATGTGCTGGACTACTTAAAAAAAAAACACTGTTGTACGAATATAAAATCTTCCAATTGTAGAAAATAAATAAACCAGGATGTTATAATTAAGATAAGTGAAGAGTAAAATCAGTCAAGTATGGAATACTATAAATACATAAAATGACCGGAAATGCGTGTCGATAAGCCCTCTTTAAACCATGGAAGAAGTTAATACAGCTGTACTTTATAACATTGGTCGCACACATGCCCCTATCTTCAGATCGTGTCGTGATCAGTGTTTATTTAACGGTAAGCCGCGTCCCCTCTCAACTCAACGGCTTTATTCGACTATTTTTGAGTTTCTTAAAGAGGAGAGTTCTCCGAAACTAACATTGTCAGTTCAAGGCCAAGGGTTAAAGATACGGTAATGTCAACAAGTTATCGAAACTATGACGTCAATATTTAAGATTTTCCCCTGTTGATAATAATATGCGATGATTATAATTTGTGTCAGCGTTTTATATTGGTAAATGATTACAAAGTTAGATTGGACACAAGTTCTTCAACATTATTTTTAACCTCATACGTAAACAAACAATAAATTACACATGATGGTTTAACAAACGGTGATAAACAGTTAAATTCATGTAACAATATTGACCGTCAGAGTGGTATTATCATTGAAACATTTTCCTATAAGTATTACCAACCCTGCAGGTGGGGGATCGGGAAAAGAATACACCTGCTATTTTTGAATATACATGTATGTCAATTTTCAATTTCTTTATTTTCAAATGCAACAGATAGCATATAGGAGTTACAATATATACATGCACATACATGTACAAGTAAATATTACAATCCCTTTATGTAAGATGGCGGAGAACATAGAGTAAAATACAAGATGACATCATAGCAATGTTGACAACATACAAAAGAAAATATATAATCATTGTCAGTGGCACAAAGCTGGAACATACACGATTGCTCAGATATTAAGTATAGACTTTCTTTTAGGAGTAGCCTGAATTAGATAGTTACTAAGGTTTCTCAGTTGTTTTACATTTTTGCAGGCGAATATTTGTATTAATTTATAGACGGACGGACGACGGAAATTATAGGGTTTAATATATTTGGTTCTAAGGTCCGAGGAAACTGGACACAGCAAAATAAAATGGGTTTAATCCTGCATGTATCGTAGGAGGCGACTAATGTGGTAACCACCTGCATAATTGGGGATTCGCTTTGGTGTCCTTTCTTGGGGGACACAAAAGCGACCAAAATAAATCTGCGGCACCCATTGCAATATTTCGAATCTTTATCAACTTTCTACCTCTAACCACCTTTACCTAGCGCCTTGCTTGACAACACCTCACGTTTGGCCTTACTGTTAATCGTTCGCCCAGGTTTGAAAGGCATTGGGTTCTGTCCCAAAGCCAGGAAATACCGAAGTCCTTAAAATTGTAGTTGTTATTCCCAGCTTCACATTCAGAGTTAAGGGTAATGGCAACAATTGGTTCACCCGTTGTCAGTATAATGTGACCGGGCGGAATGCTGTGCTGGGGGCCTTCGGCATGGCATTTCAGTGAGAAAGCATTGTAAAGTCGGCAACCTACCCTGTCTCCTGCTTATACACGATAGCACACGCACACACACACACAGTCACGCAAGCACGCATACACTACACACATTGAGGCACGTCCTTCAATGACCTCAGCTGTTAATAGGACATTAAACAAAATTATACCAAACCAAACCAAACTATAAGTATTACGATTTTCGAAGTATCGTCGAGTGTGAACTGTAATTATAAGTGAAAAATAGTTATGATATACATTCTTATTCATATAACTTAATACTTAAATTCTGCTCAGACAGATTGGTATCATTACATTCCAAAAGATTCAGAAACAAAAAATAAACATTTTTGTTAGAAATAACAATTAAGCATGAGTTAAAAATAACTGAATCAATCGTATATATCTATTTATAACCATCCATACGTGTCATTTAGTCCAGATTTCTCCTGGTCAACCACTTGACCGATTTGTCCTAAAAGTCCATCACTATAAGCAAACATAAGGGTATTCAAGACCATGGCCAGCGTATGGTCAGTCCGATAACTTGGTCAAGTTATCCGAAGTCTAATTATTATAATATATAGAGTTTTATAAATATTTTACAATAAACATGTTTTATTTTGTTTTATTCCCGTAGATTGCAAATTCGAATATCCATGTATACAACTGAATTTTTAAAACATGTTTTAGTTTGTAATGATTGCTTTTACGATAAGTTGACATTAAGTTGACTATGCTTTAAATATCCTGGGTTTGTTTGCTACATGTATAACATGGATGAAGTTTTTTCTTTACACGTTCATGTCACTCATACCGTTATATAGAAGTTATAGAGTTAGAAAAATAATAACAATGAAGCGTTCCCTTAGGACGTGAAATGAATACAGCAGACCTGTTTACATTGTGGAAGATTGGTGTAAACCTACTTTTGATAATGCTGTTTGTCGATAAATTCACATTGTTTCAGAAACTTTATATACATTCTAAAACAGTATTGTCTGTATTCAATACATATCTCGCTAGTATTTTAAACTATGGGTCTGAAATAAGGGAGTATCATGTGGCAGCGGATATCAAAACGTTGCATTTGAATTTCTGTAAAATTTTGCTTGATGTTCGTAAACTACAGCTGTACTCAAAACTGTATGATATATTTTTGAATATGGAAGATATCCCATCGAAACCAGTCGTATTTAGAATGTATTAGATACAATTACGTTATGCAGATAATCGTTTACTACAGACATAATATAAAGAATTGTCTGATTGTGAAGATAGTTGGTATGGAGTATAAAAATGAATTGGTTAGGATGTTTGGAAGAAAATAATACTTCTTCAAAATGTAGTCTATACAGATGTCTTTATGACGAGACAGGTCTACAAAGTTACCTAAAGTGTATATTAATCCTCAATATCTGAAAGTGTTGGTAAGGATTGGAACGTCTTCCCGTAAATCAAATAAAGAGACTAGTAGATCTGGTATTGAAAACAGAAACAGGATTTGTTTGTTGGTTGTCATACTTGATAAAGAAGATGGATTTTATTTTGTTCTTAAATGTCCCTTTTTATCGATTAACGGAAGTTATTTATCAACCCATACTATATCAGATACACAAGTATGTATTCCGTCTTAGCGTATTGCAGAGTTATCTTCTCAGGTATTGATTGGTACGTCATTTATTTGTGAGAGTAACGTCATCAATTTTTGAGAAAACGACGCAATTTTCTCGCACAAACCAATGACGTAACAATCAATACCTGCTCCCAAGAGAAGATAACTCTGCAATACGCAAAGACGGAATAAACTGATTAAGTTGTTATCCACAGAAAATGAACAAATAAATTGCCAATCTGGCAAAATATCCTTTTTTCTTGTAGAAAACGACACAATGTATTGAATTAAGTTTATTATATATAGTGTTTGTCAGCAACATATTCAAATGTCTTCGTTTTAAAATGTAATAATATAACTATCACTAAGTCGGTATTTCTAATTGTGCATTATCTCTTCCTACACTTCGAGGAGTTGATAACTATCATGTGTTAGTGAATATACTGAGATGCACAACTGATGAGCTGTATAGCTCAACGTGATACATGCACACATGAACTTAAACTTGCTAAACAATTAGATTGCTGACCTTGCCTGTTTCGAAGTTGTATTGGCATCACCGCCCCACCCTACCTCCTACTCCATCCCATTCCCTATACAAACATTAAAATATAATCAATAAATATGTAAGTTTGATGGATTCATGTTAAAAAAAAAAAAAAATCAATCTTGTACCATTGGTACATGTAGTGGCCCCGGTATATATTATGCACAATTTACTCATTATCCGTTTGAAATTGACATGTTTCATTCCCTGGCGTCACCGATTAGTCCTGGACGGACGAAGCAGTTGTAGATGGTGTTATGTTCGGACTACTGTATCTAATACCACATTTAATGAGGGGCCGCTGTGGCCAAGTGGTCAAGGCGTCTGACATTCTGTTACCACTAGCCCTCCACTACTGGGTCGCGGGTTCGAGACCTACGTGGGGCACTCGCCAGGTACGTGCCGTAGGTCGGTGGTTTTCCCCCCGGGCACTGCAGCTTTCCTCCAAAACCTAACATATTCTTAAATAAACACAAACAAACGAACCAAATGTAAGGTGCACTGACATTGTAAGGTGCACTGACAATGTAAGGTGCACTGACATTGTAAGGTGCACTGACATGCTTGCGTCTTACATGTACGTACATGCACGTCCATCTTTCTATATACAAGATAGTAGACTTTGCTGATGGATTCTTAGTCCCCGAGGTTTGCTTTAACCTTGATAGGCACAGTGTCTTCTATTGTGTAGTGGCACATCACATGTGTGGAAAAAAAATAGATCGTATGATGAAATACTATTTCATATTTTTGTGACCTAAATTCTTAGTGTACTTAACGACAACTGCGGAAACACAGAAGTGATTCACACGTGCATAAAAGGGGGATATATACGGATACATTTAAACGTGCATGTTTTATGTATCACAACAAAATGTGAAATTTGTTTAATTCCAAAGACAAACTGTGGTCACTGGTCGACTGTGTGGTAGTCAGAAAGGGTAACTGGCATACATATCGTGGCAGGATGTGAATAAGACAGCGTACATGTTACAATTCAACTTGGAACTTCTACATTTAATGACTTCCTGCTATGAGGACGTGATACTTTTGATCTAACCAATATGTATATGGCGGGTGTACATGTCGTCCCGGAATAAATCGTCCCACACTGTATTATGTTTGAACATTAACAAGGATTTCCGTGTAAATCTTCCATTTGTTCATATTTTTTCCTAGTTAAATACTTTTTTAGTTCGAATATCGGAGTTTGTTGACACGTTATTTTAGTTTGTAAATATTCTTTTTATACTGTATCTAAGAAAAGTTGGAAAAATATAACTAGGACAGAACATGCAATTATCTGATTTATTGTCCAGTAAAGTATGGTTATTTACAAATGTCAATATTTACAAAGAAGATAGTAAACAATTTTTACCAGGGTATGATTTTGTTTCCCTGACGTATATAATTCTAAATTAATAAGCACACAGGTGATTATAAGAGGTGTGATCAAATATAATGACATGTATCATTTATACAGCAAACGACAAAAATAACAAATAAAAATAGTAACACTTGATAACGATAAGGAATAACTGGAAAATGGGAGACATTGTCAGATGACAGATAACAAGAAAAAGCCCTGGCCCAGTTGTTTAAAAGGTGGTTAGGTTAATCACTGTTTAACGACATTTTTCAACCTTTGATAATTTCGTCAATATATTAGGTAAGATCTCACATGTTTGCATGTAAATTCACTATACTAAAAAATTGTTATCTAAAAATTGTAACTAATTCAATGGTTTTGCTTTTAAGTTGCACACAAAATAAAATCTGCGCCTATCACTGATTAAGCTCATCACCTTTTGAACGACGGGACCCTAAGCTTTAAGAAACAGACAAAGTGACGTAAGAATGAACGAGAGAGCTTATATCTAACCCACGTGAATAGTTATAAATAACAACCAGTCATATCGCGTGGTATATCCTTTCTGTACTTCACTGTGGAATTTTACTTGAATACATGCAAGTTTATAATGAAATACAAAGTACAATTGGCAATGCGAGTACAGGAACCCATGGTATATATATACCAGCGTTAAAGATATCTTCAATCATGTCTGATGGTTCTTGTATATGTAGGAAATAGAGAGATAATCCCACCCCTTTAAAGAGGTCGTGGTTCCTTGTGCCTCCGAGGTAACATGATGACTTGATTCCCTCGTAGTAAGAATGTAATCACCATAATTTACGATACTGTGTAATAGATTTCGTCGCATTTAAGTCCTTCAGCAGTTCTATAAGTCTTATAATGTGTAAAACCTACGTTTTGTTGCAAGTGCCGAACCTCAAGACTTGAGCTGGTCCATTTCAAAGTCATTGGTAGGATTGCTTTTATTGGAATCAGATCGTGTTGCATTTACCTTCCGGAAAGATCCCCTGAAAGGAGTTGTACGGCGATGGAACGATCCTTTACACCCACTGACGGCCATTGTGAACAGTTTAGAACAATGTGTGCGGAAGTTTACGTTTAGAAAGCTGTAGATTACGGGGTTAATCACATTGTTGATGTAGTAAGAGCGAGCAAAGATTTTAAGAATAAGCTGTTGCACCTCCGAATGCTTTATCACAGAGCCTTTCTGACGAGACACGAGCACCTGTACCACCATTGTGGGGAGATAACTCAGAACGAACGCAACGGTAACTGCTATAAATATCTTCGTCGTCTTGGAGACTTTTACTTTCGAGAGAGCTTCGGTTATGCTTTCTAACCTTAGTTTCCGTGATGTATTAGAAAAAGATCTTTTGAAAGATCTTTTATTATTTGTGAAGACACTTGAATCGTCGTCACTGACACTAGAGTTATATCGGGTCCTTTTAACAATGTAGTGTCCTCCTTCAGTGTGTTCGTCACTAGGCCGATTTGATGGAGTTGGCTTTTCGCCTATGATGAGATTTTTCCTGCATCTGATCTCAAACCAAATACGGAAATATAGTCCGGCAAGCAGTATAAACGACACGCCAAACAATAATGGGATGAAATATTTATAGAAAATATCGCGAAACAGGCTATCTTTGTATTCCTCTGATACCGAACAATCGTGTCCGAACAGGCCAGTCACGTGTGTTGGAGCCCTGGTGATGCCGAACAAAACCAGGGCTGGCACCGACAAAATGAAAGCCAAAATCCCTGCCACAGCGCACAGGATCTTTGTCTTTAGTGCCGTTACAATCCGCAGAGGCCTGCAGATCTTTACGTAGCGGTCAAACGCAATTTCGATCAGGATGATGACTGAGCCAAATGTGGTTACGTTTTGTGAGTAGCGGAAGAGCTTGCAGGCTAGGACGTTGTAAAACGTGTAGTGAAACCTGACGTCATAGATGTCAATGGGCATGCAGATCAGACTGGACAATAAGTCAAACACTGCCATGGCAATGATGAAATGGTTCGACGATCGACTTTTGTATCTAAAGCAGAAAACATAAATGACAAGAATATTCCCAATGACACCTGCAATCATCAGGAAACCGACGAAGATGATGACAGGAAGGAATAGAAAAGCTTTATCGTCGTTCAGTGTCTCCAGAAGTCCAGGTGGGAATGTAGTGGTGGTCATGTTTCCGATCGGAATCTGTTGTCCTGATGTTGACATCCACACGCTACTTTCGTTGAAGGATGATTGATTTATCTTGGTGCTCTCCATTTCATCATCTGATGAGGTCATTAGGTGCATATCCGTTGTCCCTGTCATAGCAGGAACAATAGGTTATTTATCAACAGTATTTCTAATGTTAACCGTGCATAGTTGTACAAAATGAGTAGACCGGAAGTGTATCCGATGTCAAACATTCTCAGATCGTTCAAGTGATATATTTTTTATTCAACAAATTTTAATGAAACAATCAATGATTTATTATCGTAGCGTACAAATAGTGTCTAAATAGTTTACGAATAATTAAACAAAGGTTTTAATTTAATGTAAGCATCTCAATATTACAATTCAAACTCATCCACACGGAGTGATTGCATGTGTATTGCTATCAAACACTACGTCTATATTTGTTTGTTTCGATCAACTTCGTAAATAACTAATACATTATGTCATAAATATTTAAAGAGGGTATGGAAATTCCACCGATGGTTTAGAACTAGAGTCAGAACCGAGGCTTTGCTGTAGTATCTGCCCTATGTTCTACACCAGAGAGTAGAGTACCTATATCCACGTTACTATACCTACATAATGAACGACTTTCAAGTTCAGCACTAAATATAACAATTTCTGTATAACCTACGCATAAACCTTATAAGATCAGTAAATATTATATTTTTCAAAAAAAAACACCATTAGATGTATTATCGCCCCTGACACATTATTAATCGAAGTATAGTATTTTCACTGTGATACAGTGATTGAGTTTGTTTTAAAAAAAAATCCCTACTCATGGTATAATCACATTGATGTTTACCTTTCCAGATGCTGGTGGTGTATAAAGATGTATCTGTGGTAATATTCTCCATTTTGCTCTTTGGGGAATCTGATGTATCTTTTTATCCGTTGTAACTGTAATAAAAAAGGGAGGAAACTGTAAATAATAATACTCGAAACAACACCACGTATCAAAACGTAGTAATGCTGTAAAATTGTAGATTATTTATAATTTAAACTAGGTCACATGACAATAAAACTTAATTTTAAAGTTCATTTCATTTTTGTTTAGTTTTGTCATTTTTAATCTAATATGAATTTAAATACTTATTGAAACTGGATTTGGAAAAAAAAACAAGAAACAAACCATATTATTCTCGTACCTCAGACAGAAAATTCAACATACACCATGTTAGATTTGTCGATCTCGTTTGATCTGTCTGGTACCTTAACGTGACATTTCGCGAAATTTTTACACTGTGATGTATTCATCCGCGCGTTAACAGTTCGAAAATTGACAATCCGCATTTTAAATATTCTGTTTTGTCGTTATATGTATTTATTTGATGGTGGTTGGTATGTTACAGACTCATAGCCCGAGACTGAGATGATCCGATCTCGTTCAATACCATATGCAATTGATTTTCTTGAAACCTATAAAACATGAACGCAGTATCTATTACACGATCCATGTTTTCGCTCTAGTTATTGAACAAATTACAATTGGAATGATTCACTGTTTCGATTGCGGTATGAAATACTTCCGTAAGCGAAGTTTTATCTTATCTATTTCAGTAGAAAGCTGACATATGTGTCGATAAATTGATAAAAACAAATTGAAACATAAGGAAAACTAATTATTACAATAGGAATATAAAAATAGTGATATTTAGTTACAGGAACAGTGTGTGTTTTTGTCATTCTAATTGCCGTGCATTGTGCCTTTTGTATCGAACGGGACCGCATGTGCAGACACAGTGTGGTGAGGACATAGTGTCAGTTCTCACTAGTTACTATGTATATAATATATATGTTATTGTTGTTGGTGACTTCTTCGGGAATATATAATAATATTCATACATAGTCGATAACAATCTGAACAAAAAGTATAAAGGTATGATTATTTGTGATAAATAAACAGGTAAAATACAAATAACAAATATTCTGGAGTTTCAGAGTCACTTGACATGTAAGGTTCAGCATAGCATAACGTACCGCACATGTGTAGTATCACACATCAGTCAATTACCGTTTTCGAGAAAATATATGATTTCACGTAACATTGTAGTTAGCCAACTCCTTATTTATTGATTTAAACTACTTTTTTGTACTGGGTGCTGATGTTTGCTGAAATGGGTGTCGACGTTTTCAGTGAAAATAGTGTGTTAAAATGTATGCAGTGACATTGTATCTGAGAAACTTACATAATGTCATATTGCATATGTATGTCTCATTTCAACCTACCACAATCGGTTATTTCAATATCTTAGACAAGGGGATGCTACGCGTTGCTATTAAAGTGCAATAAGATTATCTCAACTAAATTGTAAACTATGAAAGAGGGACGAGTACATTAAACAATACAGCTCTTGATAAAATTAGTCCGGATAGTTAACATTTTATATGGATTAACTATTTGAATGAAGTATACGCTAACAAAACAACACTTGATAAATGGTATTTGATATCACGATGAAATAATGATACTTTACACAAAACTAAATAATTAACTTATTAGAAGGAGTATATATCATATCAAAGAGCAACAAATGGTAGCCTTATAGGTAAAAAGTGTCTATCATATTAAACAACGCTAGACAATAAACCTATTAAATGGAGTAAGCATTATACGCATCACACTTAATAAATGACGTTTATCATACAAACCACACTAAACACTTCACTAATTTAATGTAGTATATCATATAAAGCATACACTAAATACTCAACTTATTAAATGGAATATGTAATGTTAAACAAAACTAAAATTAATTTATCCAAACGAGTATATCAGATAAACAACACTAAATATTTATCTTTTTATATGGAATATAGCATATAAAACGACACTAAAATTTAGCTTATCCAAGGGAGTATACATGTATCATATAACAACACTAAATACTTGCTTTATTAAATGTAATATATCATATAAAAGGACACTAAAGATATTTTCATGTTAAGTATAACGTAATGTTGGTTAGTACTTACCGGCAGAGCTGTTAAGCATATCAAGTTAGATGTGGAGAGATCCAGACCTTGGGGCAACCAGCTTGTCTACAGTTCGATAATGACTCGGTACATATGTTGGAGGGTTGATAACTTCCTTAACAAGATGAGGATCGTACGTATGGTGGGTTTTAGTGAGATGTTTACCTCCGGAGAACAAGTCCTTATGTGACTTCCGACACATAAAATTGTGTATATACCACATTACTTCAACTACTGACAATAAATATAAAATTCTCAAAATTTTATATTCTACATAGAGCGTGTGCTATGATTTCCTCTGGTTATAATATCGCTAACTTACACGGGGGACATTGCATGATACTACAAATAAATGGATAATTTATCCATTTCATTTTTTACACAAAACTGCTTTTTAAATGAAAATACTGTATACAAATATATTTTCATCTTGTTTGCCATAAACACAGACTTCCTTTTATTTCCTTCATTTTCATCTTACTTATGTAAGCCGTCAGTGCAAAGAAATATATGCTTCGAGGTGTATATTCTCAATTTAACCCGCTTCGAGGAATTCAAAAAAAAAGGCATTAAATTAAAGTTATCTTAAAATCTTGTTATTCCAGAAACGTTTTTGACAAATGGGAAATTTCAACGACATAATGCACAAACTATGATTCTTAACTATGCATTTTAGATTCTGATTTCAAGCGTCTTCATAAGCAACACTATGTTTTGAACATAATATGCATGTATGACTTCATTGTGCGTAGACAGAACAATGTTTTTTTGAATTTCGTTTTAAGAGAGATAATTATTCAACAATTGAACAGTTTTGACGCCATTTAGTGTTCGCCTTTATCACCATACATCAAATTTCTTCATTTGAATTTCAGGGACAATTAAAAGTTAAAAGTTTGGAAATAATTCAAGTTGGTCAAGATAACGCAATAAAATCTGTCTTCTGTTTAAAAGTAGTGGTATCAAACATGGATGTAAGAAATAAACAACCTGTATTTCCGGTAGACTCACTTATATTTACATGTACATGTTGGTGACATCTTGCAACGCGTATGATCGCTTCACTTACTCCGGTTCTTTCCGGACAATTTACTAGAACAATGTTGAAAAATGTACCCGAAGTAAGAATAAAGGACTTTTAAGTGCTTTCTTATTCATTTTAACACAATGTTATGTTATAATAATATTTTTTTTACATTTTTGTATTTTTATTTAATTTTAAGTGATATTTATCACTTGAGCAACTCCTAAATAGTCGAAGATACAAATAGAAAATCATTGTAAAAATTAACCTTCCCGGCAATACGAGAGATAAAAAAACAACGTATACAAAATTATTATATTGTACGGTTAAAAAGCTAAACATTTAAAAGGCGTTGGTTTTGGTTTCATTTTCTTTAACGTCCTATCAACAGCTAAGGTCAATTAAGGATGTGCCGCCATGTGTGATGTGTATGCGTGCATCCGCCATGTGTGATGTGTATGCGTGCATCCGGCATGTGTCCCTGAGGCAGGGTATGTTGGTGTACTTTCCTCCTTGTAATAGCGCGGATCTAATGACGACTTTATAACGCTATCTCACTGAAATACCATGCTGAAGGCTACCAGCACAGCATTCTGCCCGGTCTCATTGTACTGACAACGGGTGAACAATTTGTCGCCATTCTCCTATATGCTGAACGTTAAGTAGAGAATAACAACCACTGATATTAAGGACTTTGGTATGTCCCGGCCTGAGGCAAAAACCAAGTGCCTTCCTCACCTTCGCGAAATTTCAATATTAAAACCAATAGAGAGGTGTTGCCAAGCAAGGCGCTAGGAAAGAAAAGGTACTTTGAAATATAGCATTGCAATGGGTGCAGCAGATTTATTTTGGTCGTTTTCATATTCCGAAGTAGAGGGCACAAAATCAAATGCCAATTTCGGCAGGGGAGGGGGGTCCCGCACCACAAGTTACCTCCTATGATACTTTGATACAGGTACATACAGTGGGTAGCAGCAGGCGTAATACGTTTTCGATCCCCGACCTGCAAAGTTGCATTTAAAAGGACACGATTTGTGGCACACTAGTTTGATCGCCTACGATCCGGAAAATACGACTGTTTGTACTATTTTTTGTAATATTATTGTCTCGTTTACTTGAAAAGGGATGGCAAGTGTATATTTTAATGAAACCATTTCATGTTCTGATTTTGATCTGTAGTTTGTCAAAACAACCAAATGCACAAGTTCGTTGCACGTTATCTTTATGGTAATCATCAACGTTAACCTTTTATTCATGTCGTGGATACACTGACACAAAACCCACATAAGAGATGAAACAAACTGCAATGCTCCTACTAGTTTTAACCTGTGTAAAAGAATATTAATTTTCACCCGGTAGGAACATTTTAAAGAGTCACATTGTTACGATTTTGTCTGTTAACAATAATTATTTTGTCATATAGTCGTGCCCAAAGATGTTTTTTATATGTTCATCACTCTTGTATAATCATATTTGTCTGATCTATCAAATCCAGTCGCTCACAAGGACATTTGATCAACCACGCTAAGACACTGTCACTTGATTGTATGTGCTACATTTGTGTATCAATTAAACGCTGGAGGATCACTATGTTGTTTTTGTTATTTTATTGTCAATTTCTAGGTTAAGAAACTGGATCGCGAAATGATGACAGATTGTAGACAATCAATTTCTTGATTGGAGAAAGAGTATTTAATATTTGGGTGGGATATACATAAGTCGCCTCTTTGTATATTGCGTTTAGTTAAACCAACGCTTTATATAATATTGTATTAAGAAAGGGATGGAAAACACGCTCATTTTAATATATATTATAACTCTCTCCAAAAGGGGAGGAGATGGGATGCTTTAATGATAGTAAATACACACAATAGGATGGTCGCAACATTCATCTTGGTTTTGTTTGTTGCTATCTTTGATGTTTTTGTTTTTTATTTTTCTATTGCTATTGTGTCTATGGATGTTTTTGTTTTTTTATTTTTCTATTGCTATTGTGTCTATGGTTGTTTTTGTTTCCGTTTTTATTTTTTGTTTCTGGTGTTGTTGTAGATGAATTCTTGCTAGGGTATCATCTTAATGATACATCTATTTGTAGATAACAATCCTGCGGCGCAGTACTCTGTCTCGTATAGTACGCAGGTAATTCCTCGCCATCAGGTCGGAAGTGATTAGTGATACACACTCAATATTTACATGTCAGTTCGATGGATGAGAGTATATCCGGTCATATACATACCGGAAGGATGACCTCCCTAAATTTACATCCCATGTTTCCGGTTGTCCGCAGTTTGGCACGTGGCGCTGTCATTGTAATGACACTTATTTAGGAGAAGGTTTCAATTCACCTCCACAATTCCTGTACCCGATTATACTCGATAGGTATATTATATTTTGATATAAAATTTAGAATCTACGGAGGAATACGTTCGTCTAGCGAAAAAATGTGGAATACCCTACGTTACATACCCCTCGATACAAACGCAAAATTACACGGACATTTCAGATTGCACGAGCACATTACGCTTGTGCAGGGTTTTAGCCCTCGTGAACTTTATCCATTCGGCCTATAAACGAGTACAATCTGAAACTTCTTCTAAATACACATGTGTGATATTGTTTTGGTAAATGCATAAACTTATATTCTTATTACATTTTCTGTGAAACATTACTCATCAGTACCGCGTTTTAATGTGCAATTTGTTTTCCGAAAACTTGATCAGAACAACAATGTCAGACAAAACGACGACGAGAACGGAATAATGACGTCACGTTACCATAACGCAAATGGCATTGGCATGTTCGGAAACCATTCTGTATTCAATTTGTCGATTTGATCACTCGATAACACGTGCTGGCAACTGGGATGATACAGCCTTCTTAAAACAGGTTATATCACTGATCCATAAGGTATGAAAAATTACAACATATTTGACCGTTGGAAAATGTTCTAATAACATCAATAATTGATAGGTGATCAGCATACGAATTTTCGTTGTTGACCGATTTGACTTCAAGCAAAGTTAGTAAGGAAAACTGGGACAGGAAGTATTTGATGCAAAATGTCAGTGATATGTTTAGATATGTAGTTTATAGAAAATAAGTACGACGACCATACTACGATACGTCCATACATTGGGTTTGTAAGTATGTTACTAAGAATAACGATAAAGGTGTATTAGCCGGTTGACCTATGTATCAAACTTTCACGAAAGTATTAATTGGATAGTTTCGCTTTAGAATTAAAACACGTCTGCCACCTTCGATAGCTCGGACATGATTTTTTAACAGTTTTAAATTTTCGAATTTCGAACAAAATTTGAAATTCAACCGGTGTTTCAGGATGGAATAGGATTTGAGACCTATATCGATATAACGACAATCTCAGTTCCATCAAAGTATTACAATCTTATTTTTTGTAACTAATATCTGCATACATTAGTTGTGTCCTGACGAAAGAACACAGAGGATTTAATTCTTAAGGTGAGAGGAAGCCGGAGTATCCGGCGAAAATCCGCGTGATCGGGCAGGTGACCGGGATCGAACACGGCCACTGCGCCCCCGACCCGCATATAAGTTACACACGAGAACAAATACCGACTTCACTAGAAGAGAACGGCGTCATTGATACAAAATATATATATTGTGAATGCATTTTTATCAATCATCAATGATACAAAAAAAACTACATACGGAGACCGGGGAAAGTATGGCCACCCCCAATATATTTATTTCTTGAGCTTATATTTACAACTTTAAGGGTCTTAACAGTTTAGTTGGCTGGGCATTCACACGAAAAAAATGGCGAGGAAAACTCTAATGTAAACTTACTAAACAGGAGAAAGTTACTTTTGAGAGGGTGGAAAGAAAATCATGACCTCGCTTCTTTCTAGTTATGCGAACTTTCTGTAACCGGAATTGCTACTTTTTATCGTACACACTGAAAGCTTCAAATGATAGACATATAAAAGCGTAGCCAAGCACTTACTGTCATATTGCTTTACTAAAAAGATATTGAAATATCAATTTAGGCCCGGACAGGTTCGGCCGATGATACCGGGGGCAGTTCGGCCAATACAACACATAAAAAGTAGCAAAATTGGTGGGAAATATGACGTTGCATGACTTGTGACGTCATGATATCAAGTTGAT